TTCCTTTAGTTCTTCCAAAGAATTCATGAGTTGAAACAAGGAGGAATTCAGGTCAGGGTTGGAACCTTAGCTGGAGTCACCCTTCCCTTCTCCCCTCAGCCAGCCCCTCTTTGTCTCTGGAGTATAGACCAAGACAAAGAAAATGAACTTTTTCCAAATAGTCCCAACCACTTTTTTAGAGCTTTCCTTCCTTTGCTTCTGCCTCTGCCATGCAACGTCAACAAAGTTTAACTCCTGGCAAGAAGGATAGAATTCGACAGATAGAATGTGTCCTGGCTGCTAGGGTGGTTTGGCACCACCAAGGGGCTGATGGAGAATGGGAGAAGTGTCTACCCTCTGGTGGTGAGGGAACTAGTTGACCTTTTTTGAAAACAGGTTAATCTCTGGAGGGAACCACAGCTTCTTTGGGAGGGGGAGGGGGTTTAAGAAAGAGGGAGGAGAGGAAAAAAATGGTCAGTCTGTACTCCCCATAATGGCTTGGATTGTTAGGGGAAACACTGACTGAAACCGCCCACCCTGGCCAGGCATGATAGTAACCATTTGCATGAATAATTTTATAACAGGAAGTCTTGGTAAGAAACACAGAACTAACAAACCACCACCAACCAGAAGAATTTGGGAAAGGTCAAAGGGGGACACCACGTGTCTACCAACCTCCCGAATCCTCCTTGCTGGAAACCATCTTGGATGTGCAATGCGTGTGCCATCAGGAAAGATCCTTTGTCAGAATGATTGGCCAGAGACAACCCAGAAACGAATCCCATTACCATAAAACCCCCGAGACTGTGAGCCACGTGGCAGAGCTGTTCTCTTGGGTCCCCTTGCCCTGTTGCTCTCCACCTGGGTGCCTCTGCCCAGTAAAGTCTCTTGCTTCATCAGCACATTTGTCTCCTTGGACAACTCACTTCTGAGTGTTAGACAAGAGCCTGCTCCTGCAACAGGATGATTCATTTGATTTTCGTAGAAGGCAGATGCTGGGGTGACAAGAGGTAGGTAATGAGCCAAAGATTCTTAACTGTTTACCGTGAAGCGAGTGTCCTGCAGCATTTTTCTGTGGACAAAATGTCCAGCTCATCCTGAAATATGAACCACGCTCCCCCAACCTGGTCAACAGATGCACAGTTCAAGGTCCTGCAGCTGAACTTTCCCACCGTGCTGGAGATAAGTCAGCCATTTTCACTGGCTAACAATTATTAACCCACCTCTCCCTCCACCTGCTTTTACCAACATATTTTTGTAAAAAAAAAAAAAAATGATCTGGGTCACTCACATCAAAGGTAACAGCAGCTGATCCAGCCATTTTCTGTCTGCCCCTCAACCCCAACCCCACCCCCACTGCACGCCCCCACCGCTGATCACTTTGATAGGAAAAAAAGCACCTGAAAAGAAATTTGGTAGAGTTGGAGGAGAGTTCTTGTTTTATTTTATTTTGGCTACACTGGGTCTTCACTGCTGCACACGGGCTTTCTCTAGCACAGGCTTAATTGCCCTGAGGCATGTAGAATTTTAGTTCCCCAACCAGGGATCGAACCTGCATTGGAAGGTGAAATCCTAACCACTGAACCACCAGGGAAGTCCCAAGAAATTAAAAAAAAAAAAATTGTACATCTTGCAGTTACAGCTGTCACCCTTCAGAGACATCTACGTTGTTACTAAAAGCCTTGGACTGAAGCTGGATTTGGCCTCCCTGCTACTATGTGCAGACAAGATCCACTCTAGTGATCATAGCTGAGCAGAAAGGCAGCTCCTCTCTCAATAGGACCCAGAGCCCCAGCCGCAAGAGAGGATTTGGCTGTAGGTAAAGTCACAATCTCTTTTTGTTAATAAATGCAATTTTTGCATGAGGTGCATGGTTAATTATGGCTCCTTCCCTTTTGCTTTCCCGTCAGCAAAGAAGCTTGTCTGAGTGAATGAGTCAACCTTGCTCTGGGAAGAAGTTGCCAGATACACTGAAACCAGCTGCTCTTAGTTAACAGCAAGACCAGACTGTACTTTCTGGAACCTTGCCTTCATGTTCTTCCCAAACCAAGATCTCCAAGCCTCTGAATTTCTGTTTGTGCAGAGAGTGCCTGGGGAGTGTCCAGCTAATGTGCCTGGGAGGGACCTGTATAATTTTCCATCTTCACTGTTTCCCAGACTCAGCAATTCTTTCCCCAGAGAACATTAAGAAGACTTGAGTTACTAAACTAAATCTTGTCATATTATTTAGCTAATCTAAATCTTGTCGTATTATTTGTATGACTTTGAAGCTCCTTAATAAATTAACATTTGTGTTCCAAAAAAACAAAAAGTCTTGAGCCATCTCTTCCAAGGACAAAATAATAGGGAACTCACTGACATTTGTATAAATGGATTCTGTTTTCATCAAAGGATCCCCCACTGGACATAGTTAAGTAAATGGCTTCCCTGCCCCGCTAGAGAGGGTGTGGAGATCCCTGAGGACAACTGGGATTTAATTTTGAATTCCTCAGAGAGCCAGGCATGGTGCTTTGCTCAAGAAATGTTTGTTGAATTAAACTGGAGAACTTCTTGAAAGATGCCAGAAGCTGGAGGGAGATGATGGAATCCTCTCTCTGGAGATAGTTCTTTAAATGAGAGAATTCTCACTTAAACCTCCAGCCACTCAAATGCTTCTTCCGCTGTATTCACCACAAATAGTCACAAGTCCCTGGAGGATTTGAAAGCTCCCAATTTTTCTCTTCAGTCAGCTTTCTAGCAGGCTCAAGTTCTTGGCTGGGGTGGGGGGTGAGGGGGCTCACCTTTTTCTGCACCTGATAAACATTTGCTGGAGGCAGCAGGTAGGGGCTGGAAGTTAGAAAAGTAGAGACCAGCAAATAGTCTCATGATGTAGGCAATTCTCCAGACAAGAGAGTCCCCCTGCCAGGCAGGCAACCTGTCAGAAAGACTCCCCACCTGCCCTGTGTGCCCAGAGGGATATCAGCTCTATCTGCCCTCCTTATCAATAGGCTCATGCTCCCTGAGTTTCCCCCAGAAGATAGGGCTCTCCCTTGGCTCCCCATATGCTGAGCACGTGATGGCACCCCACCCAACTCAGGTACTCTGACTCCTAGCAGCCAGTGGAGGGGGGAGACCCAGATAGTGCCTCTGAATATGTTGTCAGAGCATCTGCCCAACTTGCCCTTGTCTCACCTCTGACCATAGAAACTTCAGTCCTGAGGGATCATCGCAATAGATACTCAGTATTTTCTAGGAAGGCTTATCTGGTTAGAGAGAGGGGGTCACCTCTTCCGTGGGGCCCACTCCCTGTGACCTGGCAGTCCTCATAGTGCAGAACACCCTCCCCCTCAACACCACAAGGACATTCCTCATTTGCAGCCCACTCACAGCCACCAACACCACCATCACCCCAGCTCTCCCAGCAAGGAGTGGCAGGATAAGGATGCCTGGGCCAGCAGAGACAGTAGGGTCAAAGGCAGTTAAATTCTGCTGGAGCTGAGGAGGAGCCCAGAGGGGTGGGAATGAGACTCCAGATCATACCTCCTGGATGAGGTTTTAATCATTTCCAGCATGGAATGTGGTCAACCTTTGCTACAAACTCATTTGCTCTGAGTTTCTTTTCCCTGTCCCTGAACTACCCCTTACAAAGCAATTGTGGACTTGTTAAGGAAGAATTCAGGTGGCTTTTAACAAGGTTTATTCCCACTGGCTCTTATCCTTGAAACTGCATCAGTCTGTCTTCTGACTCAGACCCTGCTCTCTTCACAGTCCTAGGTCAGCTGAATGTGAGGTTTTGGTCTCTGTGCTGATGCAGGATGGTTCCTGCTTGTAGGAGTGAGCAGGCAGCATTGCTTCTCATAACTTGGTGTTTCTTACTTTATTTCTTGTCTGCATCCATGGCTATAATAGTACTGTATTGACTTCTTGGTGATTATACTTATCTATCTATCTGCATATCTCCAAGTACGAATGAAAGAAAACTCAAAGTACAAAGCCCTTTCCAGAGTCCCCAGTCCCCAGTTTACTTGTGATTTTATTTAGAACCACTTATTCATCATATGGGCTTCCCAGATAGCTCAGCAGTAAAGAATCCACCTGCCAATGCAGGAGACTCGGGTTCAGTCCCTGGGTTGGGAAGATCCCCTGGAGAAGGAAATGGCAACCCCCTCCAGTATTCTTGCCTAGGAAATACCACGGAAGGAGGAGTCTGATGGGCTACAGTCCATGGGGTCACAAAGAGTCAGAGACGACTTAGTGACTATACAGCAGCAGCAGAAATTCATCATATTGTTTTTGACTGACCCACAAAGCACACACATATGCACTCTATTGCTTATACTTACGTGTTAAAACCCCAAAGGTCCTCTCTTTAAGGACGTTAAATGAATTAATCAGTGCATTCAAAGATGATTCTTTTCTGAACCTGAGAGATACAGAACCAATACTGGAAAGAGGGTTTGATCTCCCAAATCAGAGGCATTTTCCAGATCCTAGAGCAATTCAGAAATGTCCAGCAATGTGACTGTCCCCACTACAATAGAACTTATTATATTTTAAAATTTAACTATTTAAAAGTTGAATTGCTAGAGCACCAAGACTTTTCTTTGTTCCCAAATAAGTGCAATTGCAGACTTAGGAAGTCAGACATCTTTGCAAGAACCATGGCAGATTTAGACTCTGTCCTGTGTCTCTGGCCAGGTTTCAGAACCAGGAGGGTAACCCCTTGTACTGTCAAGCAGCAATGCCAAAGTTAATAATTGGCTGTGCCAGCCCATGGCCGATCAGGCTGTTTTTGTGTGCCTGTTTTTCTATTTTACGTAAATCACGCTGAACATGTTTGCATCAAGCTACTGGTGATGCACCTTTGATCAATAGATTTTAGACAAAAGTGGTTTTTGAGTCCAAAGATCAGGGCTGGGTTGGCCTGCAGACTGGATACAGGGTGTATAAAATAGAGAGGCAAGGCACAGGCTGATAGCAAAGCAATCGCCACCCAGTCTGAAATAACTGCAAAGGCACAGCCAAAGGCTTCCTGAGTGAGGATGGAGAAGGGAATGAACGTTCTACACGACTTTGGGATCCAGTCAACACACTACCTCCAGGTGAATTACCAGAACTCCCAGGATTGGTTCATCTTGGTGTCCGTGATTGCAGATCTCAGGAATGCCTTTTATGTCCTCTTCCCCATCTGGTTCCATCTTCGAGAAGCTGTGGGCATCAAACTCCTCTGGGTAGCTGTGATTGGAGACTGGCTCAACCTCGTCTTTAAGTGGTGAGTAAGAGCCGGACAAAGAGGAAATCAGCAAGGAAAGAGGCTGGCATTGTCTTTGGAAAGGTCTGTCCATCGGAAGTTCATGCTATTCATGCAATCATAGTTTACTCCCCCTCTGTCTCTGGATCCTCTATAGAAAGAGGAAAGACAGAGAAAACCCTGTCAGTGAGTGAAGATACAGGAAAGGCAATTTCATATGGATGGAAGGCCAGCTAGACCTAGTGAATTATAGGCTATCAGCAAAGAAATGCCATCTTTCTGTTTGCTTGTTTTTGTATTTTTTGTTTGTTTTTACGGCTGCTCTGGGTCTTGGTGGCTGTGTGCAGGGTTTCCCGAGTTGAAGAGAGCAGGGGCTACTCTCCAGTTGGGGTGCACGGGCTTCTTGTTGTAGTGGCGTCCCTTATTGTGGTGCACGGGCTCTAGAGCTCAGGCTTCAGTAATTCTGGTGCATGGGTTTAGTTGCTTCGCAGCATGTGGGATCTTCCTGGAGCAGGGATCAAACCCGTGTCCCCTGCATTGGCAGGTGAATTCTTAACCAATGGACTACCAGGGAAGTCTGAAACTGAAGCAGCATAGGTGACACATAGATAGGTGTGTGAAGGGAGAAAGATGAGGTATGAAGAAAGGAGACAGGCAATTTCAAAACCCGTTGTGTGAGGTCATGAAAAGCAATTCAGAGACCTCTCTTGTTCAGCCAGCTTTATGTCTTGGGCAACTGAGAGCAACTCTCTGAGTTTCTGTTTTATAATCTGTAAACTTAGATTATCTCTGGGATCTTAATAATTACTATAGTTATCAACAATTTTTGATCCTGTAGTATGTGCCAGGCCACGTGCTAAGCACTTTTTTATAGGGTGTTACTACTATATTACAGATGATGAGACTAAGGCACTGAGTTAAGTGACTACAAAAACATAGGTAGTAAATGTCAGACACAAGATTCAAGCCCAGGCAGGCTGACTTCATAGGCAAGGCTTTTAAGAATTATGTTATATCCAGTGCTAAGAAACTGACTTTCAAAAGGTAAAGAAGCCCCAATTTTAGTATTTGCCAATTTCTAACTATGTCTGTTATCCCGTTATGACCATTTTCAAGCTATCAATGGGTCTGGCTTGCAAAAACCCTGAATATTTTACAACTGTTAGCCAGTACCAGTTGACTCCAGCACATCACTACTTTGGTCTCTATTTCTTCATGTAGAAAATGAACAGTTTGGACCAGCTGCCCTCAGAGACTTTTACCATCCCTGAAATTATCTGTGTTCACTGTCAGGTGATTCTTAAGATCTCGTCTAGCTTTAATTTTCTTTGGCCATAAACAAGAAAAGTCTTGAATATTGTTATTGGGCTCAGAAGCCCAAGGCATATTGATGGGATTCTGAAATTTCTGTTGAAAAACCTGCCCAGTTTTGTCTATAACTTCCAGTATTCAATAGCATGACCTTAAAAGACAAAAAGGGTTATTCCAAATATCTGATTTCATATAAAGAACCATGGATTTTCTCTAACTTGGTAGAGGTCAGAGTTAGTGGCTGTGGCCAGTTTTAGTGAGAAGTCACTATTCCTCCACTGCAGAGCAAAAGAAGCATCCTGACTGACCCTTCACACCTGTTTCCACAATGAAAAACATGCTTTTAAAGGGGAAGTGGTTTGTCTGAGATATTCTGTTTCAAAACCAGAGGATACAAAACAAGCAAATAGTAGCTATGTATGTCCTTACAGAAAGTGATTCTGATGGAAACGGAGACCACATCTCCTGGGAGGCTTGTCCTTCAGGCTGGGGCTCAGTCTCTGAGATCCAGAAGAAACCCAAGACTTTGGAGGCTTGAAGAAATGATCAGTAGGATATGCAAACCCAAGTCACAAACTGTAATCCCTAGGCATCCTTCTAGGGCAAATTCTTCTCAGGGGTAAAAAAGAAGAAGTTACATAGCTGCTGTCAATCTGCCTGCCAATGCAGGAGCCTTAGGAGACCTGGGTTCTATCCTTAGGTCAGGAAGATCTCCTGGAGGAGGAAATGGAAACCCACTTCACTCTTCTTGCCTGAGATATCCTATGGACAGAGGAGCCTGGCGGGCTACAGTCCATGGAGTCACAAGAGTTGGACACGACTAAGCAACTAAACCACCAGCAGCTGCTGTTAATATGGTTTTGAGGATATGGGATTTATTTATTTACGTTTCAATAAATAATACCTCCAAAGGCGAAATTCACAAGTTCTATAAAGGATGCTCCATAAATGTCTCCCTCCCCTGCCTTTCCCTAACAGCCCAGTTCCCCTTCTTGGAGGGGCTCGTGTTCTGTGTTGGATCTCATGGATCTTCTACCCGAGCTACTCTCTCTTCTTGAAGGTGTGGCATCAGGCCAAAGCATTCCTTCAGTAACTCCAGACCCTGGTTCTGCTTTTTCACAGGGTTCTCTTTGGACAGCGCCCATACTGGTGGGTTCTGGACACCGACTACTACAGCAATACCTCGGTGCCGCTGATAAAGCAGTTCCCGGTCACCTGTGAGACCGGCCCAGGTAAGAGGCCCAGCCCTCATCCAGACAGATGCTGGGTGGACCGTGCTCATTGTGGACATCTGGTAACATTCGTGCTGGATGAAGCTGTCTTTGAAGGGGACGTGAGCAGAGCCACTCCTTCAAGCTCTGGTAATGGCCTTGGATTTGGTACAACTCCATCTGAAATCACTTCAGCAAGGCCTTCCAGAATAGCCTGTGACTGCCACTTTGGAATCTGACTAATGTTTCCAGAACGGAAATTGCTAGTTCAGAGAGGCAAGGGCTCCCTCACAGACAAACGGCTCATGAGAGTAACTGTGCTGTGGCCCTTTGTCCAGGAAGGGAACATGGCAGAGGCCTGAGCCCCTCGTCATCCTTCCCAGAAGCCTGGCCGGGGAGCTGTGTCCTCCCCAGCTGACTGTTCAGTCCCACACCCTGTCTGTACTTTACTAGTTACACCCAGACGGGCATTGTTCAGCCAAATGATAGATTTCATTTTTCAGTAAGAAAAAGCAATATTCAACCCCTCCACTCCCCTACAGGTGTTAGTGTCCCTAAACTCAGGGGCCCCATCCCTGACTCCCAGACTAGGGCGTTGCCCTTAGTTATTTGTTTTCACAAAACCTTGATTCACTTTAGAGTATATTCATTCATTCAGATGTTGTTTATCTAGTATCTGTACCAAACATTGTTCTAGGCACTTGAAATGCCTCCGTGAATAAACCAAAGATCCCTACTGTTGGGAATTCCCTGGTGGTTCAATGGTTCAGCACCTCACTCGGCACTTTCACTGTGCGTGGGTGCTCAGTTGCTTGGTCATGTCCAGCTCTTTGCAACCAACTCTTTGGACTGTAGCCCGCCAGGCTCCTCTGTCCATGAAATTTTCCAGGCAAGAATACTGGAATGAGTTGCCTTTTCCTCCTCCAGGGGATCTTCCCAACCCAGGAATCAAACCCGAGTCTCCTTCGGCTCCTGCATTGGCAGGCAGACTCTTTACCATTGAGCCATCGGGGAAGCCCTCCCTGTCGTGGCTCAGGTTCAGTCCCTGGAACTAAGATCCCGCAAACTGTGTGGTACAGCTGGGAAAAAAAGGCTCCTACCCTTGTGGAGCTTGTATTTGAATGAGATGTGTGTGTGTGTGAGAGAGAGATAAAAAATCATAATACACAAGTAAAATATTTAGGATAATAGAAGAAAGAGGAGGAGGAGGAAGAAAGGCAAGGGTTTATGTGGGGTTCCCTGGAAAGCAGACTCAGATGGAGATCAGCATGCAGGAGGTGCTATACTCGAGAGCAGTACTTGTGGAAGGAAGAGATGGAAGCCACCTGGGCAGAAGTCTAATTGCCATTCAATCTCAGCTAACCCCATAGGAGCTCTGAATTGATTCAAGGGGACCAGGCCTTATACCTCAATAGAGATGAGTGATTGGATGCAGGGGCCCCCCAGGGAAAGGGTACTTCTGATCAAGAAGGCTCTCATCAGCCCAAGGCAATGTCCAGTGAAGTCTGAGCACTGACGGCCACCTGCAATCACACTCTCAACAATAGAAAGGAAAAATAAACTCTTTAGTCCAGAAAAGGATCTGGTGGCACAGGGCCCTCCACCTTTCAGGGAAAGGAGACCAGGAACAGCAATTGGATGCAGTGTTAAATAGAGTGGTCAGGACTCACTGAGAAGGAGAAATCTGTGCAAAAACTTGAAGGAGACAAGAGAATTAGCCAATAAATCCTGGAGGAAGAGGTGTCTGGATAGAAAGACCAATGTCACAGACACTGAGGAGGCAGTGTGTTTAAAGGAGAGCAATGAGGCCAGCATGGCCAGAGCTGAGCGAGCAAAGAGAGTAGAAGAGAGGTAATGGAAGGAAGATCGATTTGCAATTATATACCCAGCAGGCTGATTCTCTGTGTAATCTGTAGACTGTATACAGACTGTATAATCTCAAGGGCTGAGGCTTTCTCTGACTGTGCCACCCACTGTTCTCCCAGAGCCTAGCACATTGCTGGGCATGTAGTAGGAGCTTAATAGATATGTGTTACATAGATAACTAAATAGGTAAATAAATGGATGGCAAGATGGGTAGATGGGTGGAAGGATGGATGGGTGGATAGATAATTGAATGAACAGGTGAAAAGATAGATGGCTGGCTGGCTGGATGTAAAGATGCATAGATGGCTGGCTGGATGGATGGATGGATGAAAAGATGGAAGGAAGGATGAATACATGGATGGATGGATAGATGATGCTCCCTAGCAATCTCCCAGATGAAGATTTTTTGGCTTTGGTTCATTCATTCATCTCTTTCCTATTCTTTAGGGAGTCCCTCTGGCCACGCCATGGGTACAGCAGGTGTATACTATGTGATGGTTACATCCACCCTCTCTATCTTTCGGGGAAAGAAAAAGCCAACCTACGGATTTCGGTAAGAACTCAGCTCTGGGTTGTGGGTGGTGGATGGCAGGAGGTGGCTCTCTCTGTAGCAGACATACCACTTGCTCTTCCTCCATGCCCCCTGCCCACCTCATGCCTTGGGTTGGTACTGATAAGAGTTGTGGCAGTTCTGCTGGGAGTGAACATTAGGGTCACAGAATGTTAGGGATAGACAGGACCCACATGGGCAACATATAATTATAGAGATCAGGAACAAGGCCTGACATAACAGAGGGCTTTCTCAAGATCAGCTAGTGAGGAAGAAGCAGGCTGTAAATAAAAGCCCATTTCCATACCAAACATTACCATGTCCCATCCAGGTTAAAATAAATAAACAAGCAGAAGACATTACTTTTATGGGGAATTCTGAGTATGCAGCCACTGAGTGAATCTTTCATTATGAAACATAAAATAGGGAGGTTGAAATTCAACATACACAGGGGTTCACCACTTGCCACGGCTATCTTTGACATTTTGAACACAGTCTTCAATTTACAAAAAATTCCACTAATGTAACTTGAGTTTGCCAGGCTCCAGTGTTCCTGCTGAGGCAATTCTCTTTGGTGAAGGATCTATATCTGGATTTTCTTATGACTGCCTCTTCCATCGCAGGTGCTTGAATGTCATGTTGTGGTTGGGATTCTGGGTCGTGCAACTGAATGTCTGCCTGTCACGGATCTACCTTGCTGCTCATTTTCCCCATCAAGTTGTTGCTGGAGTCTTGTCAGGTACCAACTGCTCTGGTTCCCTCCCTCCAACCCCCACCTATACCATTCCTGCCTAATCAGGACAAAATGCAGCGTTCCAGCCATGTTCTGTGTATAACCAACACTGTTAGTATTTCAGCGGGTTGGAAGTCAAGGGTGGGCAATTTAAAGGACTCATTTGTATGGGAATGCCCGGATCTACACAATCAAGTGTGCTTCAGAAAAATGACAAGACAGCAAACTTACCCAGTTGACTTTGCCTAAAATCTCTGAGATATTTTTACATTCTTTATTTCTTACAGCTCTTCAGTTGAAAGTGGGCCCTAGGTTAGGGTTAAGAAAATCTATCAAATTTAACAAATTAACACAATGTTCTTGGAAAGCTCTTTATTTAAATAAATTCATTTGCAAACCTAATAGATACCCACAGCTGGCCTTTATTATAGGTTCTGTGTTTCAAATATGTTGTTTTCTTAGATTCAGCTAATAACGGGCAGAAAAGACTTAGGTAAGTTAAGTGTAAGAAGCACTGGAATATAAGACCTTAGGGGAAATGTGGAATTTTCCCCCTAGAAACGTGAAAAAGCAGAGGAGAGCAGCATTCACAGAAGCATGTTGAGAATAAGAAAAATGATGACTTCCTGGCAGCTATGAAATTAACACAGGATTATAGCACTGGGTTCCATGTTTGAAGAAGAGCCTGGACGTTCATGTTACATGAAAGATCTGGGAAAGTTTAAGTCAGAAAGAAGAATAACTATCTTTATTTTTTGAGTTCCCAATCTGTTTTGTCTAGTCTTTTCCACCCAGTTTATTATTTTTAAATTGAAGTATAGTTGATGTACAATATCATGTTAGTTTCAGGTGTTCAGCAGAGTGATTCAGTATATATATATTCCTTTTCAGATTCTTTTCCCTTATAGGTTATTATAAAGTACTGAGTAGAGTTCCCTGTGCTATATAGTAGGTCCTATATATATATATAGTAGTGTGTATATGTTAATCCCAACCTCCTAGTTTATCCCTCACCCCTGAGAATGAAAAAAAAAGTGAATGTGATAGTCACTCAGTTGTATCCGACTCTTTGCGACCCCGTGGACTGCAGCCCACCAGGCTCCTCTGTCCATGGGATTCTCCAGGCGAGAGTACTGGAGTGGGTAGACATTCCCTTCTCCAGGGGATCTTCAAGTGTGTTTAAATGTGTTAACAGAGGCTCTAGAGTTACTTACAAACTCCTGCAAAAAGAATCGAGACCAATCAGTTCAGTTCAGTTGCTCAGTCGTGAGAGCTAGGTTTTAGCTCAGCACAAAGAAGTACCTTCTAATATCAAATTCACACGAAGATGAAATGGGCTGCCTGAGTGGGAGTGAGCTCTCCATCCCTGAGGGTATTCAAACAGAGACAGGAGGACCACCCCTGACCCTCCTCCCAACACAGGAAGTTTGCATGTGGTGGGGGGAAGTAAGTGGCATATCTCTTCCATCTCAAAGAATCTATGACTGAGGACAGGTTGGGAAAAAACCAAAAGACCCTCTACTCTGGCCTCTGTGATTTAACTCCACAATGGTGGGACAGGTGGCAAGTCAACCATTGTTCCAAACTCACCTCTAGCTGACGTGCCAGCATCTTCCCCAGTTCTCATGGTCATTCCTTCTCCCACTCAGGCATTGCGGTTGCTGAGACTTTCCGCCACATCCAGAGCATCTACAATGCCAGTCTCAAGAAGTACTTTCTTATCACCTTCTTCCTGTTCAGTTTCGCCATTGGATTTTACCTGTTGTTAAAGTGGCTGGGGGTCGACCTGCTGTGGACTCTAGAGAAAGCCAAGCGAAGGTGTGAGCGGCCAGAGTGGGTCCACATTGACACCACGCCCTTTGCCAGCCTCCTCAAGAATCTGGGGACCCTCTTTGGCTTGGGTCTGGCTCTCAACTCCAGCATGTACCGGGAGAGCTGCAAGGGCAAACTGAGCAAGTGGCTCCCATTTCGCCTCAGCTGCATCGTGGCCTCCCTCGTCCTCCTGCACCTCTTTGACTCTCTGAAACCCCCCTCACAAATCGAGCTGATCTTCTATGTCCTGTCCTTCTGCAAGAGTGCAGCGGTGCCCCTGGCATCTGTCAGCCTCATCCCCTACTGCCTCGCCCGGGTGCTGGGCCAGCCCAACAAGAAGACTTTGTAAAGGGATATGGAGCCTTCAGAATTGAAAGCCAATGGCTCTGCCAAGGATTGAAGATGGTTAGGGCCTTCTGCCAGCCCGTCGTGAGGCCAGAGGGACTAGAGTCAGCTCAGACGGCCCCCCTTCCCCCTTTGCAATTCTAATTGTATTAGGTGATGCTTTACTGAGAAGCTAGAGAAAGCTTTTATTTGAGAAAGCCTTATTGGAAGGTGGGTCGTTCTGGATTCTTCCTGCGAAGCTGTACTTTTTTTTTCTGTCAGTACAAAGGCAAGACTTCTTGGTAGTAATAGTAGTTTAGTTGCTAAGACACGTCCACCTCTTGCGACCTCATAGACTATATCCCACCAGGCTCCTCTGTCCATGGGATTCTCCAGGCAAGAATACTGGAGCGGGTTGTCATATCCTTCTCCAGGGGATCTTCCCCACCCAGGAATCAAACCCCGGTCTCCTGCCTTGCAGGCAGATTCTTGACTGACTGAACTATGAGGGTAGGGTCAGCTCATAATGCCAGGCTGGGAATCACAAGTGAATTTCCCATTTTTTTTAATGACAACATGTTTAATTTATAAAAGTTACCTTGCAGACACGGAATATGTTTGTGCTAAGAGTAAGGCACCACTAAAAAGTCAATTCTTTCTTAAACCTTATAGCTAACAACTGCATTTTCTACTCATGCTCGTTGTTACCCAGAAAAGGAGAAAGGAGCTGTGAATTTGGTAGGAAAAGGATTGATTAAGGATTTTTTAATATCTTGCATACCCTGAAAATTGTATGTGAAACAATATCTTAATGACTTTGATTATATTCGAAACTTTAGGTAAAAGACTCTCAACAGTGGGGGACAACTTCAAGTGCAATTAATCAGTGTTTAGTGGAGTAATTCTGCCTGTATTTTTCTATTATATATCCATGGTTATTGTATTTACTGAGATTTCTGAATGGCTGTGGTGACCTGGATATTGTACTAGGTCAGAAACTTTGTACAAAGTCAGCTTATCCTCCATAACATTTAATCTTTCTCCTTACTAGCCCAGCTCTGTTTTCCCCATAATTTTCCACTGATTTTACACCCACCCTGCTGGATCCTCAGATGCCTGAAGGCGACTCTGTAGTGGTGCTTTTGTATGTTTCTGTTAAGCTCTTAAATCTTAGGCAAAATGGCAAGGAGAGGGACAGAATTCCTCTCTCCAGAAGGTCACTCCAATGTTACTTTTGATTCTTGGGGGGTAAATATGACTCCTTTCCATGTCTGAAACCAATCAAGAGTACATTCTTGGAGGAAAAGCCAACTCCTCCTTTTTGCCTGTTCTCTCTTCTCAACTGATTCGCACGCAGACTATGTTCTTTTTAAAAAAAATGTTGAAGCCTATTTATTTGAGAGTCCTTGTTTTTTTCTACTAATTATATAGCTCACCATATATCATCATTCACACCAACCATCCTGGTCATAACATCTTTGCAAAGAAAAATATATACGTGCAGTATTTTATTAAAACAACATTTTACTTAAGAATGAAGTCTTGTTGATTACTATATTTTAGAGGTAATGTGACCTGAAGCTTCTAATTCTGGCTCAGCTAAATTTCTAGCTCTTTCTCTATTTCCCTAAACAAATAATTTGGTTTCTGTGTACTTACATTTCTTTTTGGAAAAGGAAGCTGTTTTATCTTGGGTTGGGCCAGAAGTTCCAATAGGGCTGCAGAAACTTGTGAAGTGTCAACAGGGCACAGGCAGAGTTGAGCATATCAACATAGGCACAATATTGTTGACCAAGATGGAACATTAGTTACCAGACCACAGCGCAGCACGAGTTGCTTTATGGGGTCAAACTGCAACTTGAGAAGAGACAGGCAGGCTCATTACCAAACTAAGCAATCAGGGAATGTAAGTTGTAGTAGCAGAATAAGGCTGAGCCGACTTGGGGGTTCTCCAGTGGTTAGGGCTCCGGCACAGGTTCCGTCCCTGCCTGGTCTGGGAACTAAGATCCCACACACTGTGCAGTGCTGCCAAAAGGATTTAAAAAATAAAAATAAAAAGACTGAACAGACTATGGAATCCAGTATCCTGGTGTCAGCAAGCTTTTTGATTACAGTTAAAGAAAGTCTGAACAGATCAAGTCATAGCAGCAAAGGATGCTCAGAGATACTGAAAGTGTCGCTCCAGAATTTATTTCATCCTGGGTGCAGAGTCCCAACCTCCAAAAGCCTTGACTCACCAGCATAACACTGGATCTACTGAGAGTGAGACCTGATCATTCACCTCAGAATGCTGGGGACTTCCGTGGTGGTCCAGTGGTTAAGAGTCTGCCCACAAATGCAGGGGACATGGGTTCGATCCCCGGTTTGGGAAGATCCCACGTGCCTTGGGCAACCAAGCCGGTGTACCACAATTACTGAACCCACACTCTAGAGCCTGTAAGCTGCGACTGTTGAGCCTGAACACTGCAATTAGAGAGTAGTCCCCACTCACCTCAACTAGAGAAAGCTTGGGCACAGCAGCAGAAAATTAAAAAAAGAAAAAGAACTTTGGGATGTGAATCTTTAGGGAAAGTTGAGTCCTCCTACGGAATTTTATTTCTTTGGGGTTGTTGGGGGGTGGGGGGGCGAGCACCAGGCTCCTCTGAGATGGCTAATGGTCTTATCAGGGGAGAAGAGAAATGGTCTTGCTCAGTTTGAATTGAACCGCACTGCTTGGGCATGGCCCCCATCCTGGACGGTTTATTTGCCGTCGAGGACCAAAGACAGATTCTTTACAATAGAAGTCTGGCAGAAGGTAAACAACGCCCCTGTCCCCAGTAGTTGGTCAGGTTGATAAAGACACATAATAAAAGATGAAATTTGTGCTTAATATATGCCAGGCTCTGTTTTTATTTATACATTATACATTTTGTTTATACAGCGAACTCTCTTAATTCTCCCAATGTCTCTGTAAGGTGGGTGTTAGAATTTATCCTCACATTACACATGAAAAGGCGTTAGGGAGCTTGTCCAGAATGGAGGGGCCCGTTTAAGAACCAGGCAGTCTGACTCCAGAGTTTATCTTCTCTTCTCTACTCCATGGATGCCGGTAAGATTAGTGGCTGCATCAAATCATCCTTCTGATACCAGACACAACTCTTGACACAGACCACAGAGATTTTGATTTCTTGTGGCCAAAGGACACTATAAAACTTAGAGTGATCCTCCCAGTGAGCTATATTGGTTTCTAAGTATGAAGATACCATTTTTCAAAGTTCATTTCATAAACTCACTATTGAAACAGGCATAACCATGTTAGATAACAGCAGTGTCTGAAACAACCTTAGCTCGCTCTTTTCTTTCTTCTAAGAAAGAGCTCAAGTCAATTCCCTGGCAATCCAGAGGTTAGCACTCTTCACTCTCACTGCTGAGGGCTCGGGTTCGATCCCTGGTCAGGCAACTGAAATCCCACAAGTCATGCGGCGTGGCAAAAAAAAAAAAAAAAAAGCAAGAGCCTAAAAATCATGCTGAGCCTCTGGGTCAGAAACTAACTTACTATCTGCAATCAAGATAGCACAAGAAGATAGAATTACCACAAAGAACTTTTGGTATAGATCTATATAAAAGGGTAGAAAGTAAAGAAATGCTGTGCAAGATTTTTAGATCAGAGATTCCACCAGTGCAAGACTGCTATCTTTGACTGGGACAGGCAAAGTCTAGAAATGGACAGCCCTAAAGGCTAAGAGGGCCTTCCTGGTGGCTCAGATGGTAAAAAAATCTGCATGCAGTGTAGGAGACTTGGGTTCAATTTTGGGTGGGGAAGATCCCCTGGAGGAGGGCATGACAACCCACTCCAGTATTCTTGCCTGGAGAGTCCCATGGACAGAGGAGCCTGGTGGGCTACAGTCCATGTGGTCTCAAAGAGTTGGACGTGACTGAGCAGCTAACACAAAGGCTAAGAACTCGTGATGGCTAAAACCGAGAAGAGTGTCAGCCCATGATCAATTTGTAAAATAACCAATGTATTAGCACATTTTGATCACAGATCTGCTCCTCAAGGTACAGATATATGTTTCCTTTAGACATGACTTATGAATCCTCAGGATGGCAGTAAGTTTAAATGACCAATAACCATTTCTTTTTCTTTTTTTCTTATTTTAAATTATGAAAGTATGATAACACATTTACAGGAGACTTGGAAAACACAGAACAAAGTTACATATAGTTTTGCTATATATTACAATTATTTTTTAAATAGATAAATCATGATTTTTAGTTGGAGTTTCAATAGAAATCTCTCAAAAATTAATAGAATGAATATACAGAAAAGTAAAGGATATAGTAGGCTTGAAAAGCACCATGAGCCAATTCAACATAATTAAGATTTATACAATTTTCACACAACAGTAGGATACAAATCCTATTCAAGTTCCCATAGACTGTAAATTAAGAGACACTAGACCATATCCAGGGACATAAAACAAGATGCAAAGATTTTGTGGTCTAAAGGTATTGAAATCATACAGAGTCTATTTTCTTATTACTGTAGAATTATGTTAGATCTATAGTATGCTAGACTTATGTTAGAATTATTATTAATTATGTTAGAATAATGTTAAATCTATATCAAAAGATATCTGAAAATAATCCACAAGTTTGACCAATGACTATTTTAAACCAAGGTCCATGTTATGTTATAACACAATTTGATAGATTGGTCTGACAGTCTTTTCATTTTGAAGAGATGGGTTTAAGGATGATACAAACACACACACATACCATACAATTGTATTCTTGGCCTAGGAAAGCAGACCCATTAAGAAAATGTAAATTCTGCTGCCTGAGCCATGCTGCAGCCATGCTGCATCACCATGGAGAGCCCAAGGGCTTAAAGTTTTTGTTTCTGTTTTTTAACAAAATTTATAATAGATTTAAAAAATTTATAGCAACTTTATTGAGCTGTAGTTCACATGCTGTACAATTCACCCAAAGTGAACAATTCCAGGGTTTTTAGCATATTCAGAGAATTGTACAACCATCACCACA